TAGGGGACCAGGATTGAGGATGTTCTAAACATATGTTTGTGGAATGTTGTATACTCTATCTTCGATCTAAGGCAACACGATCTGAGCAAATGCTGAAAAACACTGCGTTTTACAGCATTTATGCCAATAATAAGATCTATGATTGAAAGCACGTTCCAGGCATTGGCTTGGCTTAGTTCTTGCTTGGTTCGAACCACATGGAGTTCGATAAGGACAATAGCCATCTTCTCCAGCTGTTTTTTGAAATGCACAAGAAACTCCAAACGAGTAAACTTGAGTTTTGTTTGAACTCGAAAGCGTTTTAAACTGTATATCCTTCCCTTACTTGAATTTCAATACTTGTTATTGGCGATGATTGAACCAACTTAGACAAGCAACACACACACATGGGATAGTTGCTTTGCAACATATGTTTCAAACAGATTGAACTAGCATGTACATGGAATTCTGCACAACACTCGAGTTAACATGAAAATGCAAATGCGCCAGGACATGAAGTAGGAATGAGTTCCTTTTCTCCAAGTTGATGATTTGCTGAATTTCGCAGCCAAACAAAAATATGAAACACACAATAGTAGAGCTGCTACAGGCGCATTGAGGCTGACAAAGCATACTTCGCGCACTACTCTTGTACTCGACAGTTGTGCTTTTTGAGCTGGAGCTGCCAAAGTGAACTTTGCATACTCCAATGTGACTTTAAGTGCACTTCGCGCACGTCAATGTGACGGTCACACAACTCGCAACTCCTTCAACGTTGAGCTTAACTTCTGCTTGGTTGGAATTTGCATGGAGTTGAGCGTCCAATCAGTTCATTTCAGAGTCGCAAGGAATTTGTCACCCCCAGTCTGGCATAAAAAACCTCAGTTCTGGCCCAAAACCTGAGTATTTCAAGGAGGGAGTAGCATATATATATATATATATACCTGTTGTAATAGAGAGCGCTGAACTAGAGGGAGAAAAGATGTTTGGCGTCATTTGAGCGTATTCTTGTATGGCAGGCATGGCCAGAGCCAAGTTGCAGCCATGCTGCTAGCTCGAAATCACCCAGCCACTGCCCCAGAGTGGCATTGCACGTCGCACGCATTGCACGCAAATTGGGCTCCAAAGGCCGACCAGGGAAAAGGAGACACTTCAATGGAGCATTCGAAGAGGCATCGTGTTTGTCCCGGAACGTTTCAGGCTACAAGTGCTGATGACTTGGAGTGTTTGAGTGTTTGCTTTGGACCAAAAAAAAAGCGCAGCGTGCAGCGCTCAAGCGGCATTCGGGCTCATGGGAGATGACTTGACCTGGGTATCCTGGAAGCTGGCCCTGGGCCAATTTCATGAGTCCGGACAGCTGGAGCTCCCAACTCATGAGCTTTGTGCTCCAGGCAGGAGGTGCTGTGCTTAGCCTCGGCAGGGGAGGTGCGGCATGGGAAGGGCCCGAATGTCAGGCCCTCACGGCCAGCAGACGGCGCGGCTGGGTGGGGAGCTGCGCCTGGAGGGCCCGGACCTCATCTGGAAGCTGCGCCTGCGGGGCCGCGCCCTGGTGGCCAGGAAGGTGGGGCCTGTGGAGCCCAGGCCGGGCGGAGATGTGGCCAGGGTTCAAAACCGGTCAATGGGATCCCATTTTGGTTGGGATTGGTGAATTCACCTATCCCATTTTAGGCTTCCTCTTTTAGTGCTCACTGGGTACCATTTGGCTTTTGACCCGTGGCCATGTTTCATGCTGGAGCCAACTTGCGATGGTTGCATCGTCGTTTGTTTGGAATGGGTGTTGCGCCGGCAAAATTCTAGGGCTGGACTACTCTGTGGGCAAAACTGGCTGGCTTTTGGGGCAGGTTGCGCACAGGTCGCATGGCTCGGATAATATGGTGCTCCCAGGCTTCTTTTGACGATGAGAAGCTGGAAGGAGGAGGATATCGCCACAAAGTCGGACAGATGGATGCAGGTGGCTAGTCATGCAGACGGGGACTGCATCACGCTGAGCGCGGCACTCCTTTGGGCCACGCAAAGTTTGCCTGCCACCAGTCGCTTCACCTTTGGAGAGCAATTGGGCCAGGGCCAGAGTGGCTGCGTGCACCTGGTGACTGACACTGAAAGTTGTGGCCAAAAGCTCATTGCCAAGGTGGCAGAACCGGGGTGTGAGCTCATCCATGAGGCGATGGTGTTGAAGTCTCTTCAAGGCCTAGGCTTCCCAGAGTGTCTGGGCATCTTCGCAGGTCCTTGCGGTGAGTTCCTGGTGGCAGAGCGCTTAGGTGCCAGCCTGGACGACTGGCAGAAAGAAGGTGACGGCAGGCTCGAGGTGGAGGCGGTGGCGAGGGTGGCGTCGCAAGTCCTGGCTCAGCTGGCAGCCTTACACAGCAGGAATCTGGCGCATGGAGACTTGAAGCCGAAGAACCTTCTCATTAAGGATGCAGACACCTTGGAAGTTTGCCTCATTGACTTTGGCTGCTGCCGACCCTACCGAATCTCAGACGACATGGTTGTCCCTCGGCATGGCGCACCATGCGTTGGAACCACGCGGTTCTGCGCCATCGCAGCACATAAAGGCGAGAGGTCACCGCGCTGCGACCTTGAATCCCTGGCATACGCCCCTCAGCTCACTGCTGCATGTTCATGTCAAATCCTGCATTGTTTATCATTGTTTTGTGCTGGAGCTGAGAGTCTGTTGGCCAACAGGTTTGCTGAAATTTATGCGCATTTGCTGTTGAAGTGAGGTTCTCATTCATTTGGCAACAGGCCGCTTACCATGGCAAGGCATCAGGACTCACAGAAAGCTCGACCACAGTGCAGAGATCTTGAGTAGCTCGGTCAGGCAGATCTGGTTTGATTGCTTAGCCGCCATCACAGCTTCAATTCTTTGTGTGTGTGTGTGCGTGTTTCTCTTCCATGACCCGATGCCTTTGATGCCAAGGCAAAAAAATGGACTTCGATTTACTTAAACGTCACGTTCTCGATTCACTTCCTGATGCATTTGCAACTGGCCTTCTTTGTTTGGTGGAGAAATGCCGAAGTTTGCAGAGTGTAGATACAGGCACCTATTGCGAGCTGCACATGCTGCTCACACAGGAAAGCCCACGGACGCAGCGCGGGTACAGCCGTTCCAGTGGCATTTGCTGAGCTGACTGCAATCGGCAATCATGGACCTGCGCAGGTCCAGTGAAGTCTGAGGAATGCGGGAATGCGTTCAAGAAGCTGGATCGATGTCGCCAAGATTCCTTGAATTTGGGCAAGCTTTGGATTGCGGCTGAATGAATCACCTGCAGATGAGTATACTGAGCAGCGATGCAGCTTCAACATGGGCAATGCCGCATCACTGGCGGACTGGCAACGCATTGATTCCGTTCAAGAAGCCTTCCCGAGGTCAAACCATGAAGATGCTTGCTTGCGCATGTTTGCACCTTTATGCGTGACCAAAGGCTTGCAACATGAGCCAGTGTAGGAGAATGTGGGACTCGCAAAATTGGACAACATGCAACCAGAAGGAAGCGGGACAGCTAGCAGCTGCCCTGTCCCGGCCCGGATAAAATGACACTGCTGCGCGCACGCCAAAACATGTGTTGACTGCGTTCTGCTACGGTGTGCTGCATTTTGTCAGATTGAGGTTGCACATTCTTCGCGTAATCGGTCAGCCTTGGCCCCAGTGACCGCGTCAAAATCCGTGATTGTTGCCCTTTGCCAACATGTTCCAATATCACACTCCGTTGCCTGGGCATGCATCATGTTGCGGCATGCAGCCAGTATCACCCTGAAGAATCAGGCGCCGCTGCACTATGCAGCCTGGCAAGGCCATGTGCAGGTTGCTGAGGCAGGGCTGGGCAATGAGGGGCTGGTGCGGTTTTTTGTTTTTTTCCTTGGCACGTTGAGTCACGAGTTGATCCAGGGGCACCGTCAGTTCGGCAGTTCGGCTTTTGCCCCCGAGGCACTTTTGGATGGCCAGGCGCGGCCATGGCCCCAGGCCCTCGCTCGCATTCTGGAGCTCAGGCTAACCTGGAGCAGAGAATGCTCGGTGGGGACACTCCCTTGCACCAGGCTTGGCGCCCTGCCACATCGATAGGATGAGGATGCAACAGCACAGGATGTCAGAAAGCAATTGACATTGACAGACAAAGGCCAAATGCTTGCGTCCAAATTTGAAGTCCTGAACCCCAGTGATTTATCAATCATTATAACTGTGGGAAAACAAGTTTTGTTCCGCCCACAAATCATAAGGGGCTCATTATAAATTTGTACATTTGGGCCTTGAGTGACCATCCCTTTGCGCTCCAAGGCTGCATGGCAAGGACACGTAGCGATGCTCAAGCTGCTGATAGAGAGAGGCGCATTGCACTGGGATGCACTGAATTGGGTAGTCTCCGAATCGGACACCGCAAGAGAGAGGGAGAGAAAACAAACAATTTTTTTAAAAAAAAAATGCTAGGGTTTGCTTGGAGCATGTGAGCTGGGCAGGTGCTTCAGTTTTTGCCCTCAAGGCGTGGCAAGTCTCAGGCTGCCCCTGCCACTGCCACTGACGGAGATTGCAGACAGGATGATGGTGATACACCGTTGGCATTAGCAACCTTCAGAGGGCACCTAGAGGCGTGACGGCCTCAGGAGTTCAAGCGTCCATTGCTTCTTGGCGAAGTGACAAAGAGATAGATTCGAAAAGCAGACAAAAGCTGCGCACCTTGTCACTTTGTGAACGTGCACCTGTGTGCACTTGTGTGCATTTGTGCTCGGTTCAAGTTGTGGGTTTGCGCCAGGGCCGTGTGGGAGAGCGATGAGCGCCGGCGGGGGAGAGGGCGGCTCCCACGGCGCCGCGCTGCGTCGTGCGACACGCGGCGGCGGTGTGATGCGAGGAGAGCGCAGGGGGAAAGGCGGTATTACCATCCCGGCGGATACAGAGGACGAGACTATCATTGGTGATGGCGCGATTCGCCAGTACGTCAAGGTGGTCCAAGAGGGGACAACCCAAACAATCAAGGTCAACATCGATGCCAACGAAAAGCCTGCAAAGCTGAAGCAGCTCATACACGACTGTTTCGGATGGCTGCCAGAGAAGCAAAGATGGGTTTTTGCGGGAAAGATGCTGGATGATGACAAGAGCGTGTATGATCAGAGCCTTTCTGAGCCTGAGTTGACGTACCATTTGATTCTTGCAGACTAATCTTGCACAATGCAGGCCCGTGAACGTTTCCAATTTGCTCCAGAGGCTCACTGGCCCGGCACGGTTCAACTTGAACCAGCAAATGGCAGGGAGAGAGGGGGGCAGGGACAGAGAGAGGAAAAGAGAGAGAGAGAGAGGAGCGCCCGATTTAAGGTCCAGAGAGCTGCTACACCGAATGATAGCCCCGGCCTTGGGCGCTGCGAGCGTGGTTCCCTGAAGGCTGTTTGAAAGCTTTGCCTTTGCGAATTTGAACTTAGGGTGGCGCGCTTGAGAGCTGCGCAAAAGATGTTTGCTCGCAGGAAGGCAACACCGACTCCAACTTTTGCAGGGGGCTCGTGGGGCCATGCTTCACTGGGTGAGAAGGGGATGTCGGGTGTGGCAAGACGAAGCCGAGAGATCTGCCAAGCTGTTTGCGTGGACGGCTAAAAGTCGGGCCGCTGCACCTGTTTTTTTTGGCTGTTCACCGCGCCGCTCTCCCCTGCGCTACGGCGCCAACGCGGCATTGCTTGGACAAAGGCGCACAAAGGTGAAAAGAAACCAAACGAGAAACCGCAGAAAGGCTGCGAGAAAAGCGCACCTCGGGTAGAGTGTGCAGCAGAGAGGCAGCACGCTTCTTAAGTTTGGCAAGCTGCCTCCCCCTCTGAAAATCGCGAGAAGTGTAGGAAAAGGGCCCTCAGCAAGACTAGCGCAAATTATCAATTCGGGCAAGAATCGTAAACTGGCCTGCACACAAAACTGATTCGTCTCGAAGGGAAAATTATTGTCAAGCTCTTGGTACCCCTACGCACATGTTTTTGCAGACTCCGCATTTGTGGCATTGCAAGTTTATGCATCGTAGAGATAATATTAATTATTAAAAAAAAAAACACGGCTTGAGTGGTACGAGCAGCATGTTTAGCATAGGGCGGCATTGCACATTCTGGAGAGTCGTACTCCCCGAGTGGGGCCGCTGCACAAACTGAGCTGGACTTGATTTGGAAGTGCTCATGGAGAGCCAAGCGGGCTGGAGGAGCGGTGGGGGAACGGCTTGTCGCAGTCCAAAGGTCCCCAGGTATTGGCTACGCGGCTCTCGCTCCCCGCGCGGCACCAAGGGAGCAGAATCCGAAACTACTTCGGTGGCCGCCTCGATCGCCGGACATGTAGCATATCTGAAAGGACGGCAGGGCCTCAGAGCCTCATCTTCCCAGTTGCTTCGGAGGCTGCGGGCCACTTCACACGGGCGCCAGCAGCAGGGACCTCAGGGAGGCCAGGTTGATGCTTGGCTTGGCCAAGCCCAGGTGGCAAGCCAGAAGTCGTGAGGACTGAGTGCCCATGTCATGTGAAGGGTCAGAACACGCCACTTCTTGGCCATGCCATGACAAAATGTTGTTTGAAAACATGTAGTAAGCGACAGGGGCCATGAAAAGCAGCACCCCTGTGAAGGGCTAGCCGGATTCTGGATGATGAGTTGCACGTGTGGGCAGCCCCTGATTTCGGGAAGAATCCGGCCGCCGGAGCGATACCTTTCATATGGAGCGACACCCATGGCCCCTTCAAGTATGCAGTTGGCCCTTCACATACTACTCTTGCACTACAAAGTTGCCATTTTTGAGCTGGAGCTGCGGAAGCGTACTTCACGTTCTGGACTTGTTGCGATTTTCGAACTGGAGCTGCAAAAGTAGTGCACTTTGCATACTGGATGTGTACTACAGGATTGCGATTTTCGAGTTGGAGCTGCGGAAGCGTACTTCGCGCACTAGACTTGTACTACAAAGTTGCGATGTTTGAGCTGGTGGTGCGAAAGTGAGCTGCTGCAGTGAGCGACTGGGCCAAGAGCGAGACCCGCCAGCCAGCTGTGTATTGGCCGTCGCACATTGGGCTTGGTGAGCCGACAGGTTTGGGCACAAGGCGAGCCTTGGTGTCCAGGAAACACTTGAAGCATTGCAGGCTCCTGCTGGAAGCCAACGCTCCGATCAATGACAGCAGTGAGAGCGAGGACACTGGCCTTAGGGCGAAGGCTAGTTGCACCTTGGGCAGCTTAGGTGCTGAGTCGAACGTGAAGACATCCCCGACCAAGTGGAGATTCGTTCAATTCGTTTGCAGGAGGCGGTCCTTCATCGGGCAATCCATTCTGGCTCGAAGGACGGGCTTGCATGGCACGTTGAACGGGTTGCAAGCTGACGTAATTCATGCCCCTGCTTTCCAGGAGTCCGTGCAGCTACTTTTGGAGGGGCGTGCAAACTTGGAGGCATTGCCAGCGACTGGGTAGGAGTTGGGGCAATGGGATCACTCGCCAAGCGCGCTGACATGTAGCTAGAAAACGGTAGGCAATGGTTCAGCTCCATGCTGGGACAAGTTGCCTGCGAGCTTGATCCCCTCTTTTTGTTGCCACCCATTGGATTTGTAAAGGTTTGCAACCAGATGCACCTCATTAAGGCTGAGTGGCTGCTTCACCAAGCCACCCAGCCAGGCAATCCGGGCAAGCGATGAGCAGAGTCCATTGCAGTTGGCCGTTCTGGACGGGTGCGCCCTACAGCTGCAGCCGATCTTTGCCACAGGCACCAGACGCAAGGCGAGGTCCTGTAGTTCTTGCTTTCAGGTACACTGGCATTGCAGGGCTCTTGCTGGAGTGGCGTGCGAGCCTGGATCATACCAGGGCAGATGGCGGGGGGCCCAGCCAGTGCATGATTGGCCTCAAAGATTGGCCGAGTGGCGTTTTGAGGCATGAAGCCTTTGCATGTGGCCGTGTGCCGGGAGGCGGGGACTTCTGAGCGCCACTTAGCTTGCGAAGCTTCAGCTCGTGCGGGTGCGTTGCCCTCAGGCAACCTTCCCACCACGATCAGGCGGTCCCAGACAGGGGGGAGCTATGCGGTGGCACTTTGTGGCAGAGCACACCTCTGAAATGCATCACTCAACAACTGGGAGCTTGATATAAACGTCAACATGTTTGGTCTGATGTGGACACTGCCAGGCGAAGGCTCCGTCATCAAGCTGCTGGCAGAAGCTCGGGCTGATCCGCAGGTGGCAGCCGTCGGTCCCAACCCCCCAATGCCTGTACACCCCGCCAGATACATCACAAACGGGGCATCACCGTCCAGCAACTTCATGAAACACCAGCAATCCACAGGCACCTGGAATTGTGACTGCACACTTGGCCAGCTTGCCACATGGAGAATGGAAGCCAGCTTGGCAGGCCTCCCCCCCCTTCCCTCCAAGAGTATCTCCAAGTTTACCTCGTCGTGTGGTCAGAAGATATGCAACTTGGGCATAACCCAATCATGGCAGCGGCTTAGTTGGCCAAACCAGTGACAGGCGCGGAGCCGCACTGGTATGACTCCTGTGGCTTTGGCGCTCAGCCCGGGCATACAAGCCTTGCCCTGAGGTGCATCACAAGCTACT